GGAACATTCTGGGACCCCTGGATCTGAATCTGTTCCCCAAGTTAAGGAAGTTTTTAGTCATTATTTCTTCAAATAAGATTTGTGCCCCTTTCTCTCTCTCTTCTCCTTCTGGGAGCCCTATTTCATGCTGTCATATAAGTCCCTTAGCTATCTTCACTTTTTTTCGTTCTATTTTCTTTTTGCTCTGATTGGGTGAGTTCCACTGCCTTGCCTTCAAGTTGACTGATCTTTTCTTCTGCTTCATCTAATCTGCTCTTGAATCCTTCTAGTGTATTTTTTCAGTTCAGTTATTGTATTCTTCAGTTCTGTGAGTTCCATTTGGTTCTTTCTTATAGTTTCCCTCTCTTTGTTGAAATTTTCACTGTGTTTTTCCATTCTTCTCCTCAGTTCGGTGAGAATCTTTATGACCATTATTTTGAACTCTTTATAAGATCAATTACTTATCTCCATTTCTTTAATGTTTTTTATGAGATTTTCAACTTGTGCTTTCATTTGGAACATAGTCTTCTATTTCTTCAATTTTCTTGACTCTCTGTGTTGGTTTCTATACAATAGATGAAACAACCACCTCTCCCAGTCTTGAAGGAGTGGCCTCCAGTGGTAGATAAACCTTGTTGTTCAATCCTGCCCAGCTCTCTGTTGTCTTTCAAATCTTTGTGCTTATCCAAGCAACCTATTATATTTTTAATAGCTCCTAGTATGTCAAGACCTGTCAATGTCCCTAAGGGGAAGATCTCAGCACCCAGATTCAGGCTGATTGGAAGCCAGACCTTCAGGTAGCAGCTTTTAAAATTACTCAAATATATACAGTCCTATGGGGCTGCAAATATAAGCCCTGCTGGCTACCAGAGCCAGGCAATCTGATGGTGTTCTCTGGGCAGTAGTCACAAAAATCAGGGCTCCAGATGAGTGAATAAGCTCCTTTCTGGGAGATACTGGAGAACTGGAGCAAGGCAGAGGGAGAGTGCCAAGATATCATTCACAACCTATGGCCCATGAGAGAGCTCCACAGGCCACTAAATATGTGCCAAACCTGAAGCTTGCCCCTCAAGCCAAAGAGGCCTCTTTCACAGAAAGACCAGGGGGTATGCCTTAGTCTGCTGTCTGTGCAGTGCACTGGGAGTGGTAGCCTGCCAAGAACCATCTCTCCAATTGCAACAATCCTGTGTGGGACCCAGGAATACACGCCTTCCTGGCCACCAGACTCTGGTGATTAAAGGGTGTCCCCTGGGCAGTAGCCACAAAAATCGGGGCACCAGGTGTAAATGTCATAGCACCATATGCGTGTAAAGCTCTGCACCAGAGACACTGGCACTCTGGAACACAGCAGAAGAAGAGCACAAAGATAGTGCCCACCCTCCCAGGTCTCTGGATATGATTATAGTCAGCCCCTAGATGTAAATTTAATTAGAAGTCTGGCCCTCAGGCCACATCCATGATGATTAGCTAATGGGCCTCCTTCACAGAAAGAGCTCCTGGGTTTGTTGTCTCTTTCTGTGCCCTGGGAGTGGTAGCTATTTAAGAACTCTTTCTGCATTGGTTACAGTCCTGTGGGACCCAAGAGTGTAAGCCCCACTGGCCACCAGAGCCAGGTGATGTAGAGATGTCCTCTGGCAGCAGTTGCAAAAATCAGGGCACCAGACATGAGTATGAGCTCCTTTCTGAGTGACGACGATTATTACAGTCCCACGGTACCAGGAATGCAAGCTCCCCAGGCCTCCAGAGCCGGATGGTCAAGAGTTGCCTCCTAGGTGGTAGCTGCAAAAAATTGGGACACTGGATACATGTAAAAATTCTCTTTCAGGGGCCACCCGGTGGTGCAAGCAGTTAAGTGTGTGTGCTCCACTGTGGCGGCCCGGGGTTCGCTGGTTCGGATCCCAGGTGCACACCGACACACTGCTTGGCAAGCCATGCTGTGGCGGAGTCCCATGTAAAGTGGAGGAAGATGGGCACGGATGTTGGCTCAGGGACGGTCTTCCTCAGCAAAAAAAGAAGAGGATTGGCAGATGTTAGCACAGGGCTGATCTCCTCACCAAAAATAAAAAACCAAAAAAAAACCTCCCTTTCAGGAGATACTGGTGCTTTGGAGCAGGGCAAAGGGAGAGTGCAAAGATGGCACCCACCAATCTCCGTCCCTGGAGAGTGTTCCAGCAGGGCTCCTAGATGTGTGTGCTAAATTAGATGTCTGCCCCTCGGGCCACCAATAAGCAGATATCCCTATTCACTTTAAGTCTCGGCACAATTGGCTTCCTTTGAGCTGGGCCTTGGGGTGGGTAAGTCTGAACGTGTGAGCCCTTTAAGACCCTTTCTCCAGATTGCTAGTCTTGTGGGTCTTGGGCTGTGACCTCCATTGGTTTTCAAAGTCAGATGTTTTTGGAGCTCATCTCTCAGATGCAGGTCTTAAAAGTTGAGGTGCCCAATTTAGGATTTGAACCCTTCACTCTTCAAGAAGCTCCAGGTTTTGAGCTTTCTCCTGATTGTGGGTCACTGTGCTGGGGGTGAAATTTATGGCAAGATTGTACCCCAGCCTCTCCTACCCACATTGATGTGGTTTTCTTCTCATTTGCCTGATGTGTAGTCATCTCTGAGCCAGCCTTTAGGTTTTTTAAAGAGGAAATTGTTCCACATGTAGCTGTAGACTCAGTGTGTCTGCGGGAGGAGGTGAGTTCAGCATCTTTCTGTGTTGCCATCTTGAACCATAACTTTCCAGGCATTGCTTTAAATAATAGGGATACAATAGGAATCCAAGAAGGGAAAAGTTCTTGCCCACATGGAGCTTAAATTCTAGATGAGGATAGAGAAAATAAAAATATACGATTTTAAAAGATCAAAGAAAAGCAAAGTATTTAGAAAAATAAACAGTTATATTTTTTTATATTTGTCCAGTTAATTATTAATGTTTATGAATCAGGCTAGAACATAAAGCCCAGTTCAAACAGTGACAAAAATAGTTGCCAGATGTCTGTTGAGGTTATTACCATTTTTTTTTTTTAAACTACAAATCAGCAAAGAATTGTGGAGATCAAGGATACAGATGTCACCTTGAAGGGTCACTCTCATGAACAGATTTGGAACAATTTCACCATCAAAATAGGAGATTATAACCCATTGAATGAAATGTGAAGATTAGGGTCCACAGAGATATAAATACAAAAATTTATAAATTGAAATTTTGATGATGAATGAAATAGTTACAAAATTTAGAAGTACCTCATGTCAAAGCAAAAATTGCACCAACAAGGTGTCACAGGAGAGGAAGATTTTATTCAAGGTTGTTGCAATAGGGGAGAGAGCCCAGAACTCAGTCTGAACTAAAATCTTCTGAAACGAAAGGCAGTAGGGTTTTGAAGAGCTGAGGTGAGAGGGAGCTCATACATCATCTGTGTTTGCTAAATGGCTTTACCCAAAGGAAAGTTAAACTTTCTCAGATCTTCATGATAAGACATAGTTTTACAACTTGTAGCTAGGCATTCACTGAAATTAGGCCCCCACCGTCCCATAGAAACTGAAAAGTAGAGCTGCTATCTTTCTCAAAGATTACATTTCAAAGGAATGCCTCCCAGGTCCTTGAGAAAGATATTTCTGGGTTGTAAAACTTCCAAGAGGTTTTTTTCCAAAACTTTACATCTCAAAGGAGCAGAGAAAGAATTTCCAATTACAAGTTTTGTAAAGTAAATGCTGTAAAACACGGGAGGTCAGGCCTGCATAGTCAGCAAGAAGGAAGCTCGTCCGAAGTATAGTCAAGCTGAGAAAATGTTAACGCCATCTTGGTCTCTCCCCACAAAATACTAATTAATTGCAAAAGGAAAAGAGTAACTTTCCTTCAGTCTGGTGGACACTACATTAGTCATGTGAACAAAGTGAATGTCATCAATAATGGAACAAATAAAAGTGTGTACTATCTGAAAGGATGCAGTGAGAAGGACAAAGCTTCACTGCATCACTTCTTTACTATTTCTGCCAAGGAGGTTTAACTTGAATATAACCATGAGAAATAATTAGACTAATTCAAATTGACGAACATTTTACAGAATCACTGGCCTGTAGTACTCAAAAGTGTCAAGGTCATGAAGGTCAAGGAAGGCTAAGGAACTCTTTTAGATGGAAGGAGACTAAAGAGATATAATAACTAAATGTAGAAAATTATTCTGAGCTGAATGTTTTACTTTAAAGAACATTATCTTGACAACTGGCAAACCTTGAGGGGAGTCTGAGAATTAAATGGTAGTACTGTGTCAATGCTAATTTGTTGATTTTGATAATTGTATTGTAGTTGAGTAAGAGATGTTTTTGTGGGAAATATACATAAAAGTACCCAATATGCTTGAAATTTTATAATGAAATGCATCAGTTTGACAACTAATTCTCATGTGGTTTGGGAGAACTACATAAATTACCCAGAATTTCCAGCGTTAAGGTTTATATCATAGAAATGAAAGTGCTACTGTTTAAGAAAAATATTCAGAATATTTATTGCAGCATAGTTTATAATAGCAACAACCTGGAAACAAAGTTAATGCTCATCAATAAAAGAGTAAAAAATTTATAAATCCACACTATAATGCAACTCAGAACTGTTTGAAATGTGCATAGAATATTGTTAAGAATGAAAAAAGCAAAATACAGGGGCTGACCCAGTGGCGTAAGTGGTTGGGTGCGCGCGCTCCGCTGTGGCGGCCCGGGGTTCGCTGGTTCGGATCCCCGGCGCACACCGACGCACTGCTTGGCGAGCCATGCTGTGGCAGCATCCCATATAAAGTGGAGAAAGATGGGCATGGGTGTTAACCCAGGGCCAGTCTTCCTCAGCAAAAAGAGGAGGATTGGCAGATGTTAGCTCAGGGCTGGTCTTCCTCACAAAAAAAATAAAAAATAAAAAAAATAGAAATAAAAAGTAAAACAATGAAAAAAAGCATAATACAGAAAAGCAGACATAATTTGATCCCATTTGCTGTAAAATTAAGAAATGAATAAAAATCCTGAATATAAATACATGGGCTGACACAGGATTATATTATCACATAAAAAATTGGAAAAGCATATTTTACATGGTTAACATGGGTTACTCTGAGTCTAGGACCAATGTACATGCTGGAGGGAAAATAAAGAATAGATTTTGGTGTTTAATTGCTATTTTAAATTCTTACTCCTAAAGAATAATATTAGAATCTAATAGGCAAAAAATTTGATCATTGATTATTCCATTATCATTTTTTTTTAATTCTAATATTGGCAAATCCATTTGAAAACACTGCTGCAGGTTTCAGAGTAAATTTTGTTTTCCTTGATGGCAGCGCAACTGTTTTCTTTAGCTGGACCTTTTATGAAGAATCTGCAGAAGAGAGGATAAATACGTTGTTAATCATTGTTGCTGAAGACATCATTTGTGTTTTTAGCTAATACTCTCCTTTAATTAAAAGGTAACTCAAAATTTCAAGGCATTTTCAAATACCTTGACTCACTAAATATTACAATATCTCTGTAACTTGGTATTACTGTCTGTGATTGGTGGAGAGCTCCCAGAGAGTCTATTTGCAAATGACGGAGCTAAGAATAAATTTGTGTCCGTATTCCTGTTCTAGTATTCTTTCCATTGTTCTATGCGGTCCGTTAGATTAAAAATTAAGATCAAGTCCACAAGGACAGCTTGCTTAACCTTTCTTGGCTTCTCATATCTAATTATACAATAGTGATAATAATATTTACCTCACGATATCTTTATAGAAGTTAAATGAGTTGTTTGTAAAGAACTCAATACACAAACTGATCCATGTAAGCTCTAAATAAATTGTATATTTATTGTATTATTTATCCATAAAGCAATATGTTAAATACAATAATAAAGTTGTCTATAAAATACTGTAGTATTCGTGATTTATTCTGTTAGGAATTTATTTAAACTGAGGACAAAGTTCAAGAAAGAATCATGGAAAAGATGCACATCATCATCAAAGCTTCCAAATCAATAGACGGCAGGTAAGTACTGAATTTTCATAGAGTTAGAACTCAATATTAAAGGTAATGTTGAGTGGATTTGGCATGAGAAAAAAACCTGTGTTAGCATCTTCATAAGTAATCTATCAGGTAATATTCAGTGATACAACTCTACCCTCAGATGACGTACACATATAATTTTACTCTCTATTCCAAATAATATCTTCAATTGACTTCCTTTGATTAATGTGGTGCAGTGATATATAAAATAAGTAATATTTAATGGTGAAATAAAAGTGAAGGGAAAATAACACAATAGTATCATTAAGTTGGTTACCATAGTGTATTCATTTCTTATCACTGCTACAATAAATTACCACAAACTTAGGGGCTTACAACAACACAAATTTGTTATCTTACAGTTCTAGATGTCCGAAGTCCAAAACTGATCTTACAAGACTAAAATTAAGTGTCTACAGAGCTGCCTTCTGCAGGCAGTAGGGGAAAATCCATTCATGGCCTTTTTCAGCTTCTAGAGGCTGCCTGAACAATTTGGGTCACAATCACATTACTTGGACATCTATGTTTATCTTCACATCTCGTGCTCTGACACTACCCATACTTCCTCCCTCCTATAAGGACTCTTGTGATTACATTGGGCCCACTTGGATAATCCAGCATAATATTCCTATCTCAAGATTATTAATTTAATCACACCCTTGTAAGGTAACATATTCACTGGATTTGAGGCTTAGGATATGGACATCTTTGGGGACCATTACTCTGCCTAACAACATAGGGATAAGATTTGAATTTACTGGTTTTACTATTAGTATATCTAATTAAATATTTTATTATAAAATTAACATAAGCACACAAAAATGTTATGAAATTTTAAAAATCTTCAAAAATCTCATGCAATTGAGAGAATTTTGGAGTATTTTGTTCTGTCTTGTATTTTGTTTGTATGATTATGATAATCATACAATACAAAAAATTGTGTATAGTTTTTTTTTCAATTGCTAAAGATGGCTAAAGTAAGCATTGAGAACTTTGAAAACAGAAGGCCACATTGGTTCTGTCCACCCTTCTATGTAAAGTGTGAGTAGTTTTTAAACAATAAATGCACAACCATTATTGTTTTCAAATCCTTTTGCTAAAATATCCCTCATTATTGCAGTGAACATTAAATTAATTTTGATCCTTTCAAATTCTTTAGTACCAAGAACAAATTCAGAATTGATTTTGGTGGACTTAGAAGTGCTTTATGAAGATACTTTCTACAATAAACAATAAATCCGATTGACTTTTAGGAAAGACTCACATCTTTGAATCTAATGGAGAACCATCCACCCAGGTCCATGTCCTCCTCAGGGAGGTAAAGTTAAGTCCAATCCACACGTAGTTTGATTGTTTCAGGTTTTTCTGTATAAAAGACTAAACAGTGAGTGGTAAGTAACTTCATGAATAGAATGTTTTAATAATTCAGACACACTAAGTGAGCTTTTAGAATTTTGTTTGACAACTAGCATTCTACATGAGGATTCTTATATTAATCATTTCATATCTTCTTTACACACATTATATAATGTATTATGTATTATATGAATTCACACACATTACTTGCAAATTGAATACAAGTATTCAGATTAGGACTATCATGAGTCAAGTGAGGCACTGGCTTCAAGCATAAAATTTAAGAGGGTGCCAAAAACTCAGTAATAGAGATAAATGATAATTTAACGGAATGATAGGAAGAAATTTGAGGAAAGTCATTTTTAACTGCAAAGAGGCTAATGCCATAACCAGGATGCTACACCACTTACCATTTCAAGTTGGTCCTGAATGATTAGTAGATGAGATTGTCTTCCCAAACAATACCCATAGCTATCACTCCAACTTTTCATCTCATTAGAGAACCAATAACACTTTTCTTGATATTTGAACCATTCTGATGGGCACAATCCTATAGGGAAATGGAGGAAACAAAGAAAAATTAAATTACATATGTGGACCGGCCCCATGGCTTAGTGGTTAAGTGTGCACGCTCTGCTACTGGCAGCCCAGGTTCAGATCCCAGGTGCGCACCGACGCACCACTTCTCTGGCCATGCTGAGGCCGCGTCCCACATACAGCAACTAGAAGGATGTGCAACTATAACATACATCTATCTACTGGGGCTTTGGGGAAAAAAAAGGAGGAGGATTGGCAATGGATGTTAGCTCAGAGCCAGTCTTCCTCAGCAAAAAAAAAAAGGAGGATTAGCACGGATGTTAGCTCAGGGCTGATCTTCGTCATACACGAAAAAAAAATTACGTATGTATCTCTGAAAATTGACAGTGAGAATAATTCTTAAGTGTTATATGAATAACCGTGGAGCTATGATAAAATCACTCATAACAAAGTGTTATGGACTCATCAGGTGTCCAAAATGCAAATGGTAATTTATGGGAATTAGGAAAATTAACTTAGTAAAATGAAGCAAAACCTGGAGATAAAGGGATTTTTTTCATGCCATTATCTAATATAATTACTAAAGTAATATAAACCAATTAAGATATATATTGCATTAATACTATTTGAGAGATTAGATAAAATATTATCTATACCATTTTCTTAGAATTTTTCCATACAAACGTTTTAGGGGACAGGCCTGGTGGTGTAGTGGTTAAGTTCACACTGTCCACTTCAATGGCCCCAGGCTCACTGGTTCGGATCTTGGGTGCGACCTACATGCTGCTCATCAAGCCATGCTGAGGTGGCGTCCCATATAGAGCAACTAGAAGGATCTACAAATATGAAATACAACTATCTACTGGGTCTTTGGGGAGAAAAAAGGAAAAAAGGAGGAAGATTGGTAACAGATGTTAGCTCAGGGCCAATCTTCCTCAAAAAACAAGTTTTAGAATCTCTCTCGTTTTATGTCTATAAATATCTTTTTAATATTTCCCTTTTGATATTAAATAATATTGAGATTAATAGCAGTTTTTTTAACTGCTTTATAAGTTCATCAAGTCCTTTGACTTTCTTAAATTTAAATGAAATTGAAGTCTTCTCACATTGAAAATATCTGAGACTTTTGGCAAATAATGAGGGAAAGTGAAGTATCTGTAAAAATATAAGTGTAGGCCAACACAACTATTTGAACTTGTAGCCATTACCATCTCCTTTTTTATTGAGGTAAAATTCATGTAACATAAAATTCATCATTTTAATCTTTCTAAAGTGCAAATGTCCTGGGTTTTAGTATGTCCACAATTTATGCAAACATGACTACTATCTAATTCCAAAATATTTTCATCACCCAAAAATGAAACACCATAAACATTTCTAGCCACTACCCATTCTCCGCCCCCCCAACCTTGGCAATCACTAATCTTTTCTGTCTCTATGGTTTGGACTATTATGGACATTTCATATAAATGAGATCATATAATATGTAGCTTTTTATGTCTGGCTTTTTTACTTAGCATAATGTTTTCAAGGTTCATGCAGTTGAAGCATATATCAGTACTTCATTCCTTTTATGGCTGTATAGAATTCCATTGCATGGAGGTAGCACATTTTGTTTATCCATTTATCAACTGATGACATTTGAGTTATTTCTACTTTTTGGCTATTATGAATACTCCTGCTATAAACCTTCATGTATGAATTTTTGTGTAGATATATATTTTCCATTCTCTTGGGTGCATATCTACGGCTTAAATTTCTTGAATTCTGTGGCTAACTTTTGAGAAATGGCCAAACTATCTCCCACAGTGCTGCACCATTTCACATTCCTGCTAACAATGTATGAGCAATTTCTCTACATCCTCACCAACACTTGTTATATTTGTTTGACTATAGCTACCTCAGTGAGTGTGAAGCATTTTCTCATTGTGGTTTTGATTTTGCATTTCCTTAATGACTAATCATGTTAAGCACCTTTTCATGTGTTTATTGACTTTTTGTACAGTTTCTTTGAAGAAATGTCTACTCGTGTCCTTTGTCCATTTTTTAATTGAGTTGTTTGTCTTTATGTTTTGGAGTTATAAGAGTTCTTCATGTATTCTGGATATTAGACACCTATTTGATACATGATTTTGAAATATTTTTTCCCATTTGGTGTGTTGTCTTTTCAATTTCTTGATAATATTCTTTGATGAACAAATTCTTTACTTTTAATGATATCCATTTTATCTATTTTTTTCTTCTGTCACCTGTGCTTTTGATATCATATTTGAAATCTTTGTTTTATCCACAGTTATGAAGATTTACATCTATTTTTCCTTGTAAAAACTTTATAGTTTAGCTCTTACATTTAGGTCTTTCATTCATTTTCAATTGATTTTTCTGTATTATATGAGCTGGGTGTTCAAATTCATTCTTTGCAAGTGACTATCCAGTTGACCCAGCCTCATTTGTTGAAAAGACACGTTAGATAATTTTGGCACCCTTGTCAAAAATCATTTGGCTATAGGTGTGTGGGCTCAATTCTGGACTCTCAAATCTATTCCATTGTTCTATGTCTATCTTTAGGCCAGTAACACGTTGTTTTTATTACTGTAGATTTGTCGTAAGTTTTGACATTGGAAAATGTGAATCTTCCAAATCTGTTTTTTCTAAGGTTGTTTTTGCTATTCAGGATCCCTTGCAATTCCACATGAAATTTGGGATTGCCTTGTCCATTTCTGCCAAAAAAGCCATAGGAATTTTGATAAGGATTTCTTTGAATCTGTTGCTCGCTTTAAGGTTACTATTGTTGTCTTAAACAAATTGTGGTATATACATACAATGGAATATTATTCAATCATAAAAAGGAACAAAGTGCTGATACATGATACAACATGGATAAACTTTAAAAACATGCTAAGTGAAAGAAGAAAGACACAAAAGGTCAAATATTGTATGATTTCATTATATGAAAATCCGGAATAGGTAAATCCATAGAGACAGAAAGCAGATTAGTGGTTGCTAGTGACTGGGGGGGAGAGGAATGGGGAGTAATTGCTTATTGGATATGGGATTTTTTTTTTTGGGTGATGAAAATGTTTTGCAACGAGATAGATATTGTGATTACACATTTGAATGTCCTAACACGCTTGAATTGTTTACTTTTAAATGGTTAATTTTATGCTTGTGAATATAGCCTCAACTAAAAAAGAAAAAAGTAATAGGAAATTAATATCTTATAGTTTGACATACAGTGTTTAGACTTTAATGAATGTTTAATGGTGTCTATATGATTCTATGTTTACCTATCAAAGCTTCTTTACCTCTGAAAATGTTCCATTACAAGACCCAACATAATAACGAATTAGCTAGTCAGAGTGTAAAATATGTGGCAAAATTACAATATTTCAAGTGGTTTGGGACTTGTACATGTAAAACAGATAGATAATCCAAAAGAAAAGTGTCAATAAGTAAACCATAACATATATGACATTTTTATATGTGACAAAGGGAACAACACAAGCTAGTGGATTAGAGAAAAATTCTTTGATAAATAATTATAAAATAAATTAATCTGCACCTTTCTCACATATCATACATGATATATTTCATACATGAAATAAATGTCAAAAGCTCAAAGAATAAAGTGTTAAAAAGTAAAAAATAAATGTCAAAAGCTCAAAGAATAAAGTGTTAAAAAGTAAACTAAAATAAAATAATTGAAAGTAGAAGGGATTGTTTTCCAAAATTCTACATGATTGGAAGTTCTAAGCTTAAAATCACAATGGATAATTTATTAGATATAACTACTTTTATCCATTTTGTATTTCAAAAAAAGGATAAATAGACAAAAAATAGTTATTTATATGCTGCCTTATAATCGCAATTAACTTTCCATATTTATATGTCTAAATTTGATTTTAAATTCCTGGAGGGAAGGGCCTATTTGTTAATTCTGTTTTACAGCTCTCCTCCCACTGCAAAATAATTTTAAAATATATCAATCAAGTTTTGAGTGAAAAGTAGATTTATATCAAATATTTATCTATTAATTTAATCTATTGCATGTCTGTTCAATAGAGTTTTTCAAACTCAGACAGTCCGAAAGATTAAAACAAGGCCAAAGCCTTGAGAGATACCTGTATGGTCTGCAGCTCTTGAAACACAGCGGCCTGCGTCCTTATTACGTATGTTTCCTCTTGTGTCACTATTCATGTTCAGGTTTCCAATATCATCATGCTGGGTGATATTTGAATTATTTCCTTTCTGGCATTTTAGCAACACTCCCTGAGAAACTTGAACACAGGATTATTTTAAGGTTGGTTGAATACTTTCTCTTTGCAATGTCTCAGAGACAAATTCTTTCGAATGATTCTGGTGATTGGAAGAAGATAGCTAGATAACTAGAAAGTTAGATAAATAGAAAGTTTCTTTTTAATTTTCATATCTATTTAATGAACCATAATTTCAAATATTACGCAATCAATTCGTTTATACAACACATATTTGTTGAGGATCTATTCTTGGCTGGGCATTGTCCTAAGAACTGGTGTTATAGTAGTAAATAAAGCGAAGTTCCTGCTCTGGGGGTATGCATGCTTTTTCCCTGCTTACTTAATCTTTTGCTGAAACCTATGATACTCTGTTTAGCCCATTTTGCCATAATTATTTACTTAAAATCCGTTTCTTCCACTAGAATATGAGTTTTCTCGCCATAATTATTCCTTTTGTGTGTGTTTGTGAGGAAGATTAGCCTTGAGCTAACATCCATTGCCAATCTTCCTCTTTTTTGCTGAGGAAGATTGGCCCTGGGCTAATATCTGTACCCATCTTCCTCTATTTTATATGGGACACCGCCACAGCATGCCTTGACAAGTCGTGCGTCGGTCTGTGCCCTGACCCTGGGATCGAAACCTGTGAACCCCTGGCCACCAAAGCAGAGTGCATGAATTTAACCGCTAGCCACTGGGCCGGCCCCTCATTTTTTTTAATTTGAGGAATTTGTAACAATGTTTCGGGTATGGTAGTTGCTTAGTAAATGTTTGCTGGATAAAAACAAGAGCAAAATAAATACAATCTTAGGTAAAATGTATAAAAATTTTTAAGAAAAATAATGGAATTCTACCTAATCAGAAGTTTCTAAGATATCCAAAAGTATAGTTTCCAGATACACATCACACACTCACACGCACACTCTCCTCTTATTAGACTATATGTTATGTGAGGACAAGATAATTATCTGATTTGACTACATATAAATACATTACTATGGAGCATAATATACTGCTTTATACATACTAGTTCCTTATGAAATCTTTGTGAATGTAACAAAGAATGAATGAATGAATATAAAAAAGAGTCATAAAAAAGTAAACGTTTTTCATATTTTTATTTAATTAAGATCTTTTAACTTACCCAACACAGTCAGGGAGATTAAAGTCAAAACCAGAATACCATTTACTGTTCCAGATATTCCCAATAATATTTTATACCGGTGCAACATCACAGAATAACCTGAGAGATTAATCACATGAATTAGCTTAGAAAGTACATTTGCAAGAAGTGATAGCAATTGTGATAATAGGATTGTATATAATATTTGTTTTGAGTTTCAAAGAATATTAGGCAAAGGCATAAAGCCCAAATAAATAGAAAAATATATACTTATTTTTATTTAATAATTACAATACTCTGGATGGTCAGAAGCTATGATACATGTTATATTGAATCTTAAGAAATTGCTAATATTTGACATTATTGACTGGTGGAAAAAAGAATTTTAATCTATACAGCTAATAATTCCCCAAACCCACACATACACACACACACACGTATATTCACACAAATAAATACTTTCTAAATAATCATTTACTTTAATGTAATATTTGCAAGTCATTTGACTTGTTTAATTTACTAAGTATATAATACAAGTCAGATTTAACTGTGACTCCTGGTACTTGCTATTTTAATCTAAAAAAAAAAAATCCAAAATTCTTCCTAATCCATGCAATAAAGATGTTTCAGCTTCTTGTTAGATGGTAAACTCTTTAGAAGTTTTATTTTTCATGTACCTACACTGCTAGGTTCAGATAAGAGTGTGAACTCAGTTATGGTTATTAATCAACAAACTGATATCATTAGACAGAAAGGAAATAGTCACATTTAGCGCCTCGAGTATATATGTTATTTTTTTCAACCTTACTAAAGAAGACTTAGATCTGGTGGACATAGGCTTATAGAATTATATGAGTAATTAATTTATACTGAGTAAATGAACATCTATATTGTGCATAGTAGTTTGTCTTTATCAAAGATAATTTTTGCAAGTGCATTATGTTAATTGATAATAAATCACTCCCCATAACTGTGATTATCCTTATTGCTCAGTCAATAAATTGAATTATTAATACTAAAATTCATATTCCAAATACCCTTTAACCCTGTGGGAATAAACTACATTTGAAGTTGCCAACCCTGTCAAGAAAGAGCGTGACAAACCATGTAGAACAGTGTTTCAGAGAAATAGTACACAGTTTTTCTCTTTTCATAATATTGACAAAAATAGCAAAATAAGATTTATCAGAATTCAATTAATGAACATCCTGCATTTCCAAGATTATTTTTGAGTATTGTAAAATATTAGTAATGATGACCAATAAATTCTGAGAATTCAATACATGTAATAAAAATGCCATTGATTTATTTAAAAAATCAGACAAATGATTATCAGAAAATGTTAGGAGAAAGGATGTGAAAGCCTGTTCAAATTCAACTCAGACTGAATTATTTCCCCTAAGCATCACGAAATGACCTTCACAGCATGAATTTGAGGCATATTAAGGATCAGAATTATGGAGAAAATAACATTTTCATTATCCTGTGTTTTCTTCTATAGAAAAATGGCATAATTTGACTTCTAAGGTTAAAATACAAGATTTTTACCATCAAAAAATAAAAGTAATTAAAAAGAATTACTCTTATGAGTGCCCATACAAAAATCTTAAATATGCTATTTGTAGCTAAAATATACCATGACCATGTTGAGTTTATTCTAGGAACACAAGGGTTATTCAATAGTAATAAATCCATTAATATCATATTAATAGAGCTAAGGGAAAAGGTATCATCATCCCAATAGATATAAAAGATGTAACTGATAAAATCCAACAACTTTATGTTAAAAAATAAATCAGGAATTGATGGGTACTTAATAAGCACAACAGTTTTTTTGTCTAATGACGCAGACATAATATTTAATTGAGAAACACTGAAACTTTTCCACAAAAGTTCGGAAAAAATTAATTAACTCCAGTAAAAAGTTGAAGGAAAAAAACTGTTAAAAATAACTATAGATACAATAATTTGTTAATGAATGCACAATATAAAAAGAGGTAAATTGTGACTTCAAAAATAGAAGAGACAGGCATTAAAAGAGTAGAGTTTTTGTCTGCAATTAAACTTGTTATCTGTGTAAAATAGAGTATTATAGTTATAAGATGTTTTATGTAAGCCTTATGGTAACCACAAAGCAAAAGCTACAATGAATACATTAAAAGAAAAGGGAATCAAAGCCTACCACTATGAAAAATAATCAATTCACAAAGGAATACAGCGAGAGAGAGAGAGAAAGGAACAAGTGAACTACAAAAGAGCCAAAAAACAGTTAATAAGACAGCATTAATAAGTCCTTACATATCAAAATTACTCTAAATATAAACAGATTAAATATTCTAATCACAAGACATAAAATAGCTGGATGGAAAAAAACAAAGAAGACTTAACTACATGTTGCCTACAAGAGACTCACATCAGCTTTAAGTACACATGTAGGCTCAAAGAGAAGGGATGGAAAAAGCTATTCCACGCAAATGAAAACTAAAAGAAAATAGAGATAGCTATACTTATATCAGAAAAAGTAGGCTTTACATCAAAAACTGCAGCAAGAGACAAAAAAGGTCATTATCTAATGATAAAGGGGTCAGTTCATTAAGAGGACATAATCATAAATATATATGCACTCAACATCAAAACACCTAAATACATTAAGCAAATACTAACAGATCTGAAGGAAGAAATAGACTACAATACAATAACAGTAGGGGATTTCAATCCCCACATTCAACAATGGATAGATCATCCAAACAGAAAATCAATAAGAAAACACAGGACTTGACCTAAAGTTTAGACCAAATGGGTCTAACAGACATACACAGAGCATTCAGCAAAACTAAGTTGGTTTTTTTGAAAAGATAAACAAAATTTAAAAACTTTTACCTAGACTAAGAATAAAAAGAGAGAAAGCTTAAATAAATAAAATCAGAAATGAAAGAGAAGACATTACAACTGATACCACAAAAATACAAAGAATTGTTAGACTACTATGAAAAATTACACACCAACAAATTGGACAATCTAAAAATAAATAAATTCTTAGAAACATACAACCTACCAAGACTTAATCAGGAAGAAATAGAAAATCTGAACAGAATAATAAACAACAAAGAAGATTGAATTAGTAATCAAAAACGTCTCAAGAAAGTAAAGCCCAGAACCAAGCAGTTCCCCTGGTGAATTCTGCCGATATTTAAGGAAGAATTAATGTCTTAAACTTTTCCAAAAAATTCAAGATGAGGGAACACTCCTGAACTCATTTTACAAGGTCAGCATTACCCTGACACCAAAGCCATATAAGGATACTACAAGAAAAGAAAGTTACAGATTAATATCCTTGATGAATATAGATGCAAAATTCTCAACAAAATATTAGCATATTAAAAAGATCATATTCCGTAATTAAGTGAGATTTATCCCTGAGATGCAAGGAAGGTTCAATATGCACAAATCAATAAATGTGATTCACCACATTAATAGAATGAAAGATAAAAATCATATGATCACCTCAATAGATGCAGAGAAAGCATTTGACAAAACACATCATCCTTTCAAGATAAAAACTCTCAACAAACTGTGTAATGAAGGAACATACCTTAACATAATAAAAGGCATATATGACAAGCCCACAGCTAACACAATACTCCACGGTGAAAGCTTGAAATCTTTTCCTCCAAGATCAGAAACAAGACAAGTCTGCCCACTCTCACCCCATCTATTCAACATAGTCTTGGAAGTCCTCGCCAGAGCAATCAGGCAAAAAAAGAAACAAAATGCCTCCAAATCAGAAAAGAAGAAAAAAAATTGTCTTTGTATGTAGATGATATGATCTTATATATAAAAACTCCTAAAAACTCCACCAAAAAAATTGTTAGAACTAATCCACAAATTCAGTAAATTTGCCACACACAAAATCAACATCCAAAAATCAGTTGCATTTCTATCCACTAACAATGAAATATCTGAAAAGTAAATAAAGAAAGCAATCCCATGAACAATAGCCAAAAAAACAACAAAAAGTTAGGTATAATTTAACGAAGGAGGTGAAAGATCTGTACAACGAAAACTACAAGAGTCTGATGAAAGAAATTGTGAAAAGAAATGCAAATAAATGGAAAATAATGCATGCTCATGGATCAGAAAAATTAATTTTTTTAAAAGGTCCACACTACCCAAATCCATCTATAGATTCAGAAACCATCAACAAAATGAAAAGGCAATCTATGGAATGGGAGAAAATATTTGAATATCATATAAGATGATATCATATCTGATGATAAAATGTTAAAATCCAAAATATATAAGGAACTCACACAACTCAATAGAAAAAACCCAAACAATTCTATTAAAAAATGGGTAGAGGATCTGAAGTGACAGTTTTCCAAAGCCAAGCAGATGGCCAACAGGTAAATGAAAAGGTGCTCAATATCACTAACCATCAGGAAAATGCAAATCAAAACCACAATGAGATATCTCTTCACACTTGTTAGAATGGTTATTATCTAAAAAACAAAAGATAATAAGAGTTGGTGAGGATGTGGAGAACTTTGAACCCTTGCACACTCTTGGTGAGAATGTAAAATGGTACAGCCACTAAGAAAAACAATAAGGAGGTTCCTCAAAAAATTAAAAACAGAACTACCATAGGATCTAGCAATCCCATTTCAGGGCATTTACCCAATGGAAATGAAAACATTATCTCAAAAATATATCTGCACTCTTACATTAATTGTAGCATTATTCACAATAGCCAAGATACGGAAACAACCTATGTGTCCATCTATAAATGAATGGATAAAGAACGTGTGGTATATATACAACGGAATATTATTCAGTAATTAGAAAAAAGGAAATACTACTATTTGGGAAAATGTGGATGGAACTTGAGGGCAATATGCTAAGAAATAAGCCAGATAGAGAAAGACAAATTCTGTATGTTATCACTTGTGTGTAGAATCTAAGAAAGCCAAACTCATAGATACAGAGAGTAGAATGGTGGTTGCCAGGGGCTGGGGAGTGGGGGAAATGGGAGATGTCCAAGTTTACAAAGTTCCAGTTATAAGATGAATAAGTTCTGGGGATCTACTGTACAGCATGGTGATTATGGTTAACAATACTGTATTATATTTTTGAAAGTTGCCAAGAGAGTAGATTTTAAATGCTCTTCCCACAAAAAAGAAACGGTAATTATGTGAGGTGATGGAGGTGTTAACTAATCCTACTATGGTAATCATTTTGCAGTATACAAATGTATCAAATCATCACATTGTACACTTAATCATATGCAATGTTTTATATCAATTAGATATCAATAAAGCTGGGGAAAAACATATTCCAAATCTCCACTTCTATTTAATATTTTGGAGAGGTACTATTCAATGCAATCAGATAAGATAAAAATCGAGGTTAAAAACATTAGAAAAAGAGGTACAATTATTTGAAGACAATATGTGTTTGGCAAAACTAAAAGAATCATTGGAAAAAAAGGACTATAATCACACAAATAACAAAACAATTTAGTAACTGCAGTATAAAATTCACATACTAAAAATCAATTGCCTTTATATATCCAATAACCTTTTAAAAACACAAATGAAAGGAAAGCATTACCTATGGATAGCTAACAAAACAAAATACAAAAAGAAAACTAGAAATGAACTTAACAAGAAATGACCCAAACCAATATGAGAACTAAAGAAAAACACAAACAACAAAAAAAATTGAATAACATGTATATAGACTTGAGCAAATGGAAATTCAACTGTGTTTGGATTGAAGGCTAAGTACCAAAGAGATAAATTTTCCCTAAGTTAATTGATAAATTAGGAAGTATTTTAGTATACTATAAAACTATATTAGTTTGTTTTGTTTATTGTTTTTTGTGGCGAATGAGTCTGCAAATTATTTGAATACTAAACAATTATTAAATAAAATTATTTGGAAGAACAACCAAGTGAGAATGGCCAAGTAAACACTGCAAAATATGAAAATACAAAATGGTACAATCCTATGGAGGGATATTTGGAGAAAACTAGCAAAATTACATATGCATTTACCTTGTCATCCAGTAGTCTATCTTCTAGGAATCTGCCCCAGGGACATATTGGCAAAATATAAAAAGACATATGTGCAAGGCATTGCAACACTATTTATAGTAGGAATATAATAGAAAAAGAATGCAAACATCATAAATGTCCATCAATAGGGGGACTAATTGAATAAACTACAGTACGTCAACTTAATGGAGATATATTCATCTATGTAAAGGATCAAAGTGTGTGTGCGTGTGTGTGTGTGTGCGGGCGTGTGTATAATGAGTTTGGGAGGGAAGGAGGGAGAGAACAGGGTGAAACGGACAGGATAGGAGCTGGATTTATGAGAGTTGCAGATCTTTGGAAGTACCTTGCTATATTGGTTTGACTGAAAATATGTAAATGTTTTACATAATTATAAAATAATTATATGGTATCATATGTATATATGTGCAATATATAATTGCGTAACATGTATACTTATATATAATTATAAAACAAACCAAAATGAAAAAAGTGATCCTTAAAAATAAAATGGAAAATGAAGTAAGGGAACCTAACAGGATATTAAGTTAGTGGCTTAACTATAGAGAAAGGAATTATTTCAAGTGATTTTAAAACTTAATTTGACTGTGCAAGCCCAATGGAATATATAGTAAGAACAAAAAAACTGCAAACACTTTTTAGTATTTTCTTAAGTAATTATAGTACTAGTAATACTATTTCTATAGTGATTCTGAAACTATATATAATTATATATATATGACAAAAATGTTATTTCTTATTGTCATTAACACCAAGATATGAGAAAAGATATACGATCATGAAGTAAAGTAAAACTCTATGTATAATGACAAGGGTTAGATTGTCAATTAGATTCAAATGTAGTATGTCTTACTTAACCCAAACTTCACTAAATATTAGCAAATGATACATCAGCAAATAACACTTATATATCCAGGAGCTGTAAATTTATTATTTTCAGCTTCCTGAGCTCTTTTTCTTCATCAAAACACATTTTGGTTTCTGAGTGACATCTACAAACTGAGTGTGAAAAAAGTTTGCACAGAGGAGCCATTGCGTTTTGTGGTCTTTCAGGTTGATATCTCTATTTCCCAAACCAAAAATTTTCGCATGGTGAAAAACATATTTTAAAGTTTTTGACAAGCTGAATTAAAATTTGGCATTAAAAAATGCCATATTTTATGAATGATAAGAAGGTAGATGACTGGCACCAAATATTCATTTTTTTAATTGTTAATTTTAATTGAATGTGTATATTTCCTGAGAATATCCATAAGAAATTATATGAGACAAGACATTGCTTTGAAAGAAAATAGCTGTTCATTTCACATTGATAAATGAGAGACAGACAGAAACACCGAGAGACAGAGAGACAAGACCGAGACAGAAACAGAGAAACACCAAAAAAATGAAACCATCCAAGAACAGAAAAGAAAAGAATAATGGAAACTACTGTTAACATTAACATTCATATTAATATTAATCCATATTAAATCCATACCCATCTAAATCCACACCAGTTGACAAAAACTGAATTCCATACCTTTAAATTTAAGTTGAGATGTTTGGTTAGAACTTCTTTTATTCGCCTGTACGTTCAATGTCATGTATCTTTCTTCATCCTGCATCTTCAGTGGAGTGAATGTGTGTATGTTTTGTTTTTCTAAGTATTATATGTAATAAGAAAAGAATAATAAACCTGCTGCTAAACATAGATTGTCCTCAAATTGTCCACTCAAGGTACACAAGAAGGTTCACAGTTTCATCTGTTGGCGAAAACCTCAGAGGAAATGTTTTGTTTTTCTTTTAAGTTTATTTCCTATGACCTAGATAACACATAATTTTTCAACTGTCTACCACATATTGAATTTAATATGATATTTGGTTCTTTTAAACGTTTCTTCTGATAAACTCATAAAGTCAGAAAAATGGAAATTGTACCCTTTTGAGTTAAGTTAAATAATACAAAGCTGCCTTTAGTTTTAGCCTAAATATAAGCATTTTCAATTACATTCCCTAATGCATTAATATTTGATTAAATATAACTTGCAATTACCTAACAGTTAAATTAATTCCTGATCCTAAAACAATATCGATTACAAATCATGCTAATAATTTATAACATAATTTTTTCAGCTATTTTATTGAGGACAAAATGGTTTATAACATTGTGTAATTCCAGGTGTACACTATTAATCAATTTCTGTACAGACTGCACCGTGCTCGCCATCAATAGTCTAATTTTTATCTATCACCATACATATGTGCCCCTGTATCCCTTTAACCCATTCTCAAACCCCCTTTCCCTCTGGTAACCATTAATCTGTTCTGTTTATCCATGTGTTTGTTTATCTTCCACATATGTGTGAAATCATGCAGTGTTTGTCTTTGGCTTATATCACTTAACATCATACCCTCAAAGTCTATCCATGTTGTTGCAAACGGGACGATTTTGTCTTTTGTCATGGCTGAGTAGTATTCCATTGTATATATATAGCATATCTTCTTTATTCATTCATCATTTGAAGGGTACTTGGGTTGTTTCCACGTCTTAGCTATTGTGATTAATGCTGAAATAACATAGGAGCACATAAATCTCTTTGAATTGTTGATTTCAAGTTCTTTGGATAAATACCCAGTAGTGGGATACCTGGATCATATTTCTATTTTTAATTTACAAGAAATCTCCACACTGTTTTCCATAGTGGCTGCACCAGTTTACATTCCCACCAGCAGTGTATGAGGGTGTCCTTTTCTCCACATCATCTCCACCGTTTGTCATTTTTTATCTTGGTAATTACAGCCATTCTGACAGGTATAGCGTGATATCTCATTGTAGTTTTTACTTGCATTTCCCAAATGATTAGTAATGTTGAACATCTTTTCACGTGCCTATTGACCATCTGTATGTCTTCTTTGGGAAAATGTCTGTTCATATGCTCGGCCCAGTTTTTAATTGGGTTCTTTGCTTTTTTGTGGCTGGGTTGTATGAGGTCTTTACATATTTTGGAAATTAACTCCATGACAGATATATGATTTGCAAATTTTTTCTCCCGGTTGGTGCGTTGCCTTGTTTTGTTCATGGTTTTCTTTGCCTTGCAGAAGATGTTAGTCTGATATAGTCCCATTTGTTTATTTTTTCTGTTGCTTCCCTTGCCTGAGTACACATGGTATTAGGAAAAATACTGCTAAGACTGATGTCAAAGAGTATACTGCCTATGTTTTCTTCTAGGAGTTTTATGATTTGGGGTCATACATTAAAGTCTTTAATCCATTTTTCATTATTTTTTGTGTATGGTGCAAGATAATGATCTACTTACATTCTTTTGCATGTGGCTGTCCAGTTTTCCCAGCACCATTTATTGAAGAGACTTTCCTTTCTCCGTTGTATGCTCTTGGCTCCTTTGTCGAGGATTAGCTGTCCATAGATATGTGGATTAGCTGGTTTTATTTCTGGGCTTTCAATCCTGTTCCATTGATCTGTGTGTCTGTTTTTGTGCCAGTATCATTCTGTTTTGATTACTATAGCTTTGTAGTATATTTTGAAGTCACAGATTGTGATGCCTCCAGCTTTGTGTTTTTGTCTCAGGATTGCTTTAGCTATTCGGGGTCTTTTGTTGTTCCACATATATTTTAAGATTCTTTGTTGCATTGCTGTGAAGAATGTCATTGGGATTCTGATTGGGATTGCATTGAATCTGTAGATTGCTTTAGGTAGTATGGACATTTTGATTATGCTTTCTCTTCCATTCCATGAGCATGGAATATCTTTCCATTTCTTTATGTCTTCGATTTCTCTCAATAATGTCTTATAGTTTTCAGTGTATGTCTTCTACCTTCTTGGTTAAATTTATTCCTATGTATTTTATTCTTTTTGTTGAGATTGTAAATGGGATTGTATTCTTGACTTGTCTTCTTGCTAGTGGGTTATGAGTGTATAGAAATGCAATTGATTTTTGTAAGTTGATTTTGTACCCTGCAACTTTGCTGTAGTTGTTGATTATTTCTAATAGTTCCCTGGGGGATTCTTTCAAGCTTTCTATATACAGAATCATGTCACCTCTAAACAATGAGAGTTTCACTTCTTGCTTTCCAATATGGATACCCTTTATTTCTTTTTCTTGCCTAACTGCTCTGGCCAAACCTTCCAGTACTATGTTGAATAGGAGTGGCAGGAGTAGGCACCCTTGTCCTGTTCCTGTTCTCAGAGGGATGACTTTCATTTTCTCACCATTAAGTGTGATGTTTGCTTTGGTTTGTCATGTATGGCCTTTATTATGTTGAGGTACTTTCCTTCTATACCCATTTTATTGAGAGTTATTATCATAAATAGATGTTGGAACTTGTCAAATTCTTTCTCTGCATCTATTGAGATGATCATGTAATTTTTATTCCCTATTTTGTTAATGTAGTGTAGCACACTGATTGATTTGCAGATTTGAACCATCCCTGCATCCCTGGTGTAAATCCCACTTATCATGGTGTATTATCCTTTTAATGTATTGCTGTATGTGGTTTGCCAATTATTTGTTGAAGATTTTTGCGTCTGTGTTCATCAGCAATATTGCCCTGTAATTTTCCTTCTTTGTGTCATCTTTGTCTGATTCTGGTATCAGGGTAATGTTGGCCGCATGGAATGAGTTAGGAAGCATTCTGTCTTCTTCAATTTTTTGGAATAGTTTGAGAAGGACAGGTATTAAACCTTCTTTGAGTGTTTGGTAGAATTCTCCAGCGAAGCCATCTTGTCCTGGACTTTTGTTTTTTGGGAGGTTTTTGATTACTGTTTCAAGCTCTTTACTATGGTTGGTCTTTTCAGATTCCTTATTTCTTCTTGATTCAGTTTTTCGGGGATGTTGTATGAGTCTAAGAATTCGTCCATTTCTTCTAGGTTATCTAATTTGTTGGCATATAGTTTTTCATAGTATTCTCTCATAATCCTTTGTATTTCTATAGCATCTGTTGTAATTTCTCCTCTTTCATTTCTAATTTTATTTATTTGAGTTTTCTCTCTTCTTTTTTTAGTGAGTCTGGCTAAGGGTTTGTCAATTTTCTTCATCTTCTCAAAGAACCAGTTCTTAGTTTCATTGATCATTTTTACTGTTTTTTTAGTCACTATTTCATTTGTTTCTGCTCTAATATTTGTTATTTCTCTTCTTCTACTGACTTGGGTCTTTGCTTTTCTTTTTCTAGTTCTGTTAGGTGTCATTTTAAATTACTCATTTGAGATTTTTCTTGTTTGTTGAGGCGGGCCTGTATTGCTATGAATTTCCCTCTTAGAACTGCTTTTGCTGCATCCCATAAGAGTTGGTATGTTGTATTTTCACTTTCCTTTGTCTCCAAGTATTTTTTAATTTCTCCTTTGATTTCTTCATTGATCCAATGGTTTTTCAGTAGCATATTGTGTAGTCTCTACATATTTGTGACCTTCCTAGCTTTTTGCTTGTAGTTGATTTCTAGTTTCATACCATTATGGTCAGAAAGGACACTTGATATGATTTCAACATTCTTAAATTTTTTGAGGCTTGCCTTGTTTCTGAACATATGGTCTATCTTTGAGAGTGTTCCATGTGCACTTGAGAAGAATGCGTATCCTGCTGTTTTTGGATGGAATGTTCTATATATACATCTGATACAGTGTTTCATTTAAATCCACTATTTCCTTGTTGACTTTCTGTCTGGATGATCTATCTATTGATGTAAGTGGGATGTTGAGGTCCCCTACTATTATTGTGCTGCTGTTAATTTCTCCCTTTAGGTCTGTTAACAATTGCTTTATATGCTTTGGTGCTCCTATGTTAGGTGCATATATATTTATACATGTTATGTCCTCTTGCTGGAAAGTTCCTTTTATCATTATATACTGTCCCTCTTCATCTCTCCTTGTGGTTTTTATCTTTAAGTCTGCTTTGTCTGATATAAGTATGGCAACACCTGCTTTCTTTTGTTGACCATTTGCTTGGAGTATCGTCTTCCATCCCTTCACTCTGAGCCCCTGTTTGTCTTTAGAGCTGAAATGTGTCTACTAGGGGCAGCATATTGTTGGGTCTCATTTTTTAATCCATCCAGCTACTCTGTGTCTTTCTATTGGAGAATTCAATCCATTTACATTTAGAGAGATTATTGATATATTAGGGCTTAATACTGCCATTTTATCTCTTGTTTTCCTGTTGTTTTATATTTCCATTGTTTCTCTTCCCTTTTATTTCTGACTGCCATTTCAGTTTGGTGGTTTTCAGTGATGGTTTTATAAATTTTCTGTTTATTTATGATTTGTGGCTCTATTCTGATTTTTTGGTTAGTGGTTCCCATGAGGTTTGCATAAAAGGTCTCATAGATGTGAAAGTCCATTTTCTGATAGCCTCCTATTTCCATTAGGCTAAGCAGGTTCCATCCCTCTCTTCTTCCCCTTCTGAGTTATTGTTGTCACAAATTATTGTTTTGTGTTGTAGGTTTGTGAGTAAATTGAAGTGTTTATAGTTGTCTTTGATGCTTTCCTTTCTTTTTTTATGTTATAATTGTTTACTAACTTGTTCTGATAGAGAGCTGCAGTTTTCTGATTTTGTCTGGCTACTTATCTCCTTGCTCAAAGCTTTATAGACCTTTGCCTTTTTGTTTCAGGTATGAGGGCTTCCTTCATCATTTCT